AGAGAGGAGCCCATCCATCACTCATATTGAAGATCAGCAATCGATCTTTGGGAATTGCCTCCGTCACATTCCGAAGATGGCCCCAATACGATTGGATACCTCGGCGTTCCAGGAACGAAACCTCGAACTTTCATGATGCACTTGGCTAGTTGACAACAGCATCAATTCTCTCCTCCTTCATTTCAAGACCCCCTTTTTTGAATCAGCAAGTTGCATTGCTGCTTTGAGTCCTGCGTATCAGGCTGACCGAAGTTGCAGCCCCAGTAGTGGCACTGACTACAATCCTCCGTTGTCAGGCTCCGGTGGCTCTGACCAAACCGCTGGAGAAGGAGGTTCTGAGCTTCTTGTCGTGCTTTGAACAAACGCCGTGCAGAACTCTGCCACCAAAAGACAGTCCACTTCGACCAACACCAACGAAATCGTAAAAAAAGGGTCAATTGAACAACTGTGCTCAAGATTCTGAGTTGGGAGGCCCATGAAGCATGTTGGCACTGCCATGCACTGCAGTTCTGGAAGCAAAGGAGGAAAAACATCTGAAGAAAAGGCACCTGCATAAAACATCATCAAACAAAGAATTCAGTAAAGCCCAGATTCCGACATGACCTGTTCAAGTGCTCTTCTTTGCTTGCCTTCTGGCCGATCTGGATCCATAGCTCCCAAAGGAATATGGCGCATCTTCAAGCCTCTTAGCCTCCTGGCATCTGCAGCATCTTTGGCATTCGATTCCTGAGGGCATCCCAAAAGCCAACAAAACCTTCAAGGCTTGACCAAAAAAAAAATCATCACACACACGCACATATATCATCTATATCATCTATATATAATATTTATATTTCTACAGTGGTTTCAGAATAGATGGCACTGGCATCCCAAGATGTCTAATCTATATGCGGGTCCATATCAACCACCCTATCTACTCTGAAACCGCTGTATTTTCCAACTCTTCTGGACCTCCGGATGGTCAAAATGCATCTAGGAGCTAGGACGCTACTAGGGGCTCCTGGCATCGCTACTAGGAACAAGAAGCTACTAGGGGCTCCTGGCATCGCTATTAGGAACAAGAAGCTACTAGGGGCTCCTGGCATCGCTACTAGGAATTGTCGGCTCGCCAAGATTCTGAGATGAGCTTGTCATATGAAGCGAACCAAGTCTCTGGATCTCTGACCGTGTAAATGAACTTGGACTCCTGAAGTCAGTGAGGTGATCATGATATTTAGGTTTTCTTTACTGTTTGAATTGGTCTATTGAGGGCTTCACAAACATGTTCTACGTATCATTTTCTCTGGTCCATGGTCCTTTCAACCACCGACATTGTCGGTCCATCACCGGATCATCCACCCAACACGGTTCGGTTCATGCGCGCTCGCGCGCGGAACCAGCGTCCGGGAAGGCCGCCATGAACTCCCGGTAGAGGAGCTGAAAGGGCTCATCCATGGCGGCATCCTTGGAACGAACGCTGAAACACTGCTTTTTGGGGGGACGGTGGGGGCATGGCACCATGGCCCGTTGGGGGAATGAAGAACATAACGACCGGTAGGTCACTGGATGGGCCATGGTAGGTACGGTAGTTTGAAGATGCTTGGTCATCAGTTGCGATCTGTCATCTTCCAAGTTCAAGGAAACATGGCCTCCAGCTGGTAGAGCAAAGTGGTCTTCCAAAACCTTTAAAAACACCCTCCCGGTCCTTTCATGTTACTTTGGGGGAGTGTCTCTCTCTCATGTCTTGACGTACAGGGCTTCCCCACAGGACCTCGACACCACAAATGTCCATCCAGTGGCATATCCCAAAGCCAGGGGAATTTCCAACGCCGCCTCGAAGCTCCAGGCTGGGGGGGTAGGAAGCTACTAGGAACAAGTGCATCGCTACTAGTAACAAGTGCCTTAC